GAGAGAGAGAGAGAGAGAGAGAGAGAGAGAGAGAGAGAGAGAGAGAGAATGTGTGTGAGTCCTAATCTCTCTGTAACTGGGTGCCTACTTGGGAAATTCTTACTACCTCTCAGCATTTCCTCCAGAAGTTTTTTTCTTTGCTATGAAGGGTGGTTTTCTATATTGCAGAATGTTTAGCCCCATCTCTAGGGGGCTAAATGTACCTCATCATTGCCAATGTCTTCATTTGCCAATGAAGGGGCGACATCTCCCACACCCCCTTTCAAGTGGAGAAGCACTAGTCTAACAGGAAGCATTGCTAATCAAACTAGAGATGACATGACCTTCATGATGACAGTCTGACCTCCTCTTGGTCTTTTCATTCATGGGGTAGGCACTGAGGTAAAGAACTCCTAACCTGGGCTCTTTTTAATGCCTCTTAGGTCCCACAGGTTCTGGTCAGAAGATACTATTTAGCCTTCTAGAATCCAATCCCGTATTTATTCTTATTAGCTGTGTAAAGTGGTTAAATCTCTCTCGCTAGGCCCTGGCTTCTGGATCTGTAAAATGGTAATAAGCATAGCATTCACTGTTGGAGCTGCAGATTGTCCTTTATTCAATATTTGCATCCCCTTCCTTCTACACTAAAACCTCCCAATTTTGAATTGTAACACACCCAGGTTAGAATTGCCAGAATTAGAAATAAAAATCCAGGATGCCCAGTTAAATCTTATTTTAAATAAGTGCTAACTAATACTTTTTAAAAAATAAAAGTATATCCCATTTTCTGTAGATTATCTGGAAGTCAAGTTTATTCACTGACCCAGCTCAGTGAATACCCTTCCATCCACAGGCCCCATTTGCCTCTAAAGCAGGGCTCATGACAGAGTCTGGATGGCAAAAAGCAAAGTGTCTGGGGAGTATGGATGTTTGCCCGATTAAGCAGTGACAGACTCAGGAGAACTTGGGTATTGCTCTCGGCCTGCCCTTCTTGCTGCTGGCATGTGAGGATGGTGCCCTGAGTTAGAGAGGCCATCGTCCCTGCCTGAGTGAAGACCCAGACTTATTGTCCTGACAGGAATGAAGATATCCATTCCAGAGGGAAACGTGCACCCTCCCTGTGACTATCTGACTATTAAAACAAAGGACCCCAAGACATGGGAATTTCACAGCGAGAAAAGAGCAGCCAGAGGCGGGGTTCATCTCTCAGAAAGAGCTTTTACACTGCTCTGACATACTCTCATACCACCTTCTGGGAGAAACTGGAGGTCAGGAACGACTCCATCAGGACCTCATCTTGACAAGGCTGCTTGTGTCTGCATGCCTCTTGCCTTCTCTTTAAATCTAAATCTCACTGTGGGGACCCTGAGCACAGACCTGAGGGGTCACTGGACCTTCTTCCTCTTCCCATTGAGGCCACATTGAATACACCTTCTTCCTCTTCTTGTCTCTTATTGTCGGCTTAACTGTTCTATGTGAGGCAGGTGGCAGGTAACTTTAAGAACTCTGGTAGCTGGGGGGGGGGGGGGAGGCGCCAGACCAATGGCCTCCCTCCTGAGCAGCCTCAGCTTGTCCTTGGGCAGAAACCTAAATGACAATGTCAGTCTTTTCTTTTTCTTCCTTTTTTTTTCCCACCTGTTTGCCACCTCACTTTAGCTTTATCTTGTGCCCGGGTGTTAAGTCCACATCTCCTGTCCCCAGAGGAGGCTGCCTTTTATAGATCACATCAAAGGACCAGCATCCAGTGGACTCCAGAGGGGCTCTGTGCAGGAGAGATGCCACAAGGAAATGAGAGAAAATGCAAGAATTCTGGGAAGATATTCTGCAACTCCCCCCCCATTCCCCCCCCCTCCCACCCCCCACCCCGCCTGGCTGAGCCACACAGCGGCCTTCGTTTACTCCAAGCTAACCCCACTGACCTGTCCTGAAACAACAGCGCCA